CTCGTTTGGCAATGTTCATGTTGTGACGCTTAAGTTTGTGCTCTCTTAAAGTTTTATTTTAATTTTTTTTTTTGTATCTTTGTATTAATTTCTCTCATCCAGTTTACTCTTTATTATACAATAGTGATATTTGTAACTTGTTGAGTTGTCCAGAAGTTGAATTATTTTATATTTCTACCCAGCTATGGAACTTGTTACTTCATTACAAAAACTCTATTTGTTTCTGCCAACACGGTTGTGCAGAAGTTTAGTTAACTCTAATTTCAAAGAAACTTCTATTGGTCAGATTTCTCTTTTATTCTCAGCTTTCTTCTATTTTAATAGCCTTTTAGCAGACTCATCTTCATCTGCTACTCTTTATTCTTAAGTTCTCAACCCTCAGATTGGTTATTGGATGGGTCATTCATATGGTCTTCTACTTAAACCCATCATCAGTTTTTTTCTCTACATGCTATGATTTGCTGCATTTTGAGCTTTCTTCTTTAGCACAGTTATTAGTTACATATTCTGATTCTCTTAGTTAGGATTAAATTTTTACCTTGCTCTCTTCAATAGCTTTCATGGATGCAGCTTTTACCTCTATGTGGCTCTTATGTTCTTTTGACACCATAACCTGTCATACTGTGTTACATGGTATTTGCCATCCATTTCCATCTTTTTTTTAGCTGAGCTCAAAGGAGCTTCTTTCCTGCATCATTTGTCTTTGCAGGAATTTAAGTTGCTCTAGCTCCCATATGTGAGAAGCATGCTAGCACGAGCTGATTAGGATTTTTGCATTTTGACTTTATGCTGGTTGTTGTTCCTCCTTAAGTGATGTTTATCTTCCTGCCTTACCTCCCTCATCTATTTCTGAGTTTGCATTAACTACTTCTATACCTTCTTTTTGACCCTACTGAGTATCCAAATGTACAAGCAAGTGAGGAGGGTCTTTTTGACCCACGTAATGGCTCTTCTATTCCAGGTAACTCTTCGTTCTGGACTGTTGGGAAGTCACCTTGGATCAATGTTTTATCAATGGAATTCTTGGTTTTGGTGTTCTTGAATTCTACAAATCCTTCAGCCTGATTTTTTTCTGGTTCTTTCCAATTCAGTTGCTTACAACATTTGGATCAGGAAGTCTAAAAGTCTTCTACAGAAAAGGATCGTCAAAATTGTTTCTCATGCTTCTCCAGTACTCTTGTTTCTTTGTGGTTCTTAAGATACTGTAAGATTGGAGTCTTATCACAGCCCTGTCGCAACTCAGTCTTTACTTGGAGACATTTCATTTAAAACACGAGATTCATAGGAAAGTCTCTTTGTTTTAGCCATTGCTTGGTGAAGATGGATGTACAGGATACATATCTTATATCCCTGTTTGTCTGTTGTCATTCTTTTTGCTATGAGGAGGTAGTTTAGCAGTTCACTGTTCTCAGTTTGATACATTTTGTATTGAGTAGTTAAAAAGTTTTAGTTGGTCTTCTCCATACACTCATCTTTGTCTTTTACATAGAGAATCAGTTTATTCTTAACCTTTCACTTTATCTCCTGTATGCACCATTTGATCACCCATCTAGCTATATCTCTTGGGTGGATCATTCAAAGTTCTTTTTCCAATTTAATACCAACATAATATTTGGTGCATATGGGGTTTTGGATCAGCACAGTTCAAGACACGCTTTAGTTGTTTCCTGTGGCACTGCAATCCTTGGTATCTCACGTGTGTACTTTTTTTCTCCACATTTACTATTAAAAACATCCTTTCTGTTTGGGGGATAATGGGAAGTCATTCCCTTTGGGTGCATTTACATACAACTTCTCCAATGTGACATTGCTTCTCATTGAGGTAGGTATGACATCAAACTTTTTATCTCATAGCTGTCCAGTTTTGTTTGAAACAAGAGTTTATGACAGCAGGATCTCCTTTTTCTTTCTTATCCTATAGACCATATTTTCCCAGATGTCTCTCTCTCTCTCTCAACTTTATACCACTATTTTATGAAATTAGTAATGCTCTGGTGTTTGAATTCCTTGGAAAGCAAAATCTTAGAAATTTGGACTATTCAATGTGCTTTTCTCAAGTTTCTGCTCCTTCTACACCACCATTCTGTATTAATTCACATAGACAGTTCTATAGTTGTAGCTTATTTATACAATAATGGCAGTAATTGTTCTTGCAGCCTTGACAGCATGAGAGCAAACCCAACAACAAAAGGAAAGGCTTTTAGTATTTCAGATCAAACACCTGCTTGAAATTATTCTCAAGTTAAGATTATTAAAATGTTAAACATGTTTACAGAATTTTGTTTTCACACAATTATGCTTTCCTGTACATTTGGCTGCTAGTGTTTTACTGCATTCACATCTAGAATTATTCTCCTAATAAAAAAAAATATTTTCAAAATGTTCACTTTTATTTAGTCATTACATATACAGTTCAAAGCTTGATAGCTTTTAATGATATGATATAATCAATAACTGCTTACATAAATATTATCAGTCTTTACCACATTCCCTAAGCACTGACATAATGTTCTGTTCATTATTTTGTAGGTCTTGCCCTTCTTTCAGTGTTATACCCTTAGATAATAATAAACTTTATTTGTTAAGAAGATAATAGAAGAACATAGTAAGAAAAATGGACAATCTAAAAAATTGTATAGATATTATTACCAAATAAAAAAACTATTACATGTATCATGTAGTAGTTTAGCAAGTGTAGAGAACAATGGATTTTTTTTCCAACAAAGCTATTAAACCCTTCTTTTTAAAACATTGTAATCTGATTTATTCAATCTGTTTTCCTTGACTGTGGGCCCGGCATGGCCAGGTGGTTAGGGAGCTCAACTTGAAATCTGCGGGTCGCGGGTTCGAATCCCCGTCACACCAAACATGCTCGCCCTTTCAGTCGTGGGGGCATTATAATGTGCAGGTCAATCCCACTATTTGTTGGTAAAAGAGTAGCCCAAGAGTTGGCGGTGATGACTAGCTGCCTTCCCTCTAGTCTTACACTGCTAAATTAGTGACGGCTAGCGCAGACAGCCCTCGTGTAGCTTTGCACAAAATTAAAAAAAAAAAAAAAAAACCTTGATTGTGGTTTCTTCACTGTATTTTGCATTTCTGTTCTTTTTTTTTAATTTTGTGCAAAGCTACACAAGG